GCTATTCAATCTATAACAGTGAAAAAAGTTTTTTGTTTTTAAATCCAAGCTATTGTGACACCAGATGTAATTGGTGGCACTGACTGGGGAAATGGGCACTGTGAGCCTGACACAGTAGCTGGCAGCAGTGGCAGACAACTAAGTGCATTTACATTAGATAGAAAAAAAAAATCCAAAAAAAGCATACCCTTATCCCTAACCTAGCTATGCTTTTCCCTATCTTATGAACAGCAGCTACACTTTCCCTCCTCTTACTAAGCATGCAGCTTGAGAATGAATCTAAAATGGATGCTGTCCAGTAGGTGGGAGGGTCTGCTAGGGAGGCTGTGCTGCTAATTGGCTGGAATGTGTCTGCTGACTGTGAGGTACAGGGTCAAAGTTTACTCAATGATGACGAATAGGGGGCGGGTCGAACCGCGCATATGTTCGCCCGCCGTGGCGAACGCGAACATGCTATGTTCGCCAGGAACCGTTCGCCGGCGAACCGTTCGGTACATCACTAGTCACAAGATGGTGGAGAATGCGGGCATCTAAAGCACATTTATACGGTCTGTGGGTATAGAGGCCTAAGGTACTGTGACTCTGCAAACGGAGACTGGTTGTTTGAAACAGAGGCATGCAGGTGTGGTGTGTGTGTGGCATTTACCAGGTGGCTGAGAAAAAAAAAAAAAAAGCAAGATGGAAGAGTTAGTAAAAGCCTTGGTACAGGCTACTACTACCCAGCAAGACACAAACCGTGTAACAGCGGCTCAGATCAGTAGCCTCATGGAGTCACAGCGACAGGCTGTTGCGGCCCAACAGGAGACAAACCGCTTATTGGCCATACAAATAGACTGCGTTATGGAAACACAGCGGGAAGACAGAGTAAAGCTAAGTGCTTTGCAACAAACCATGCTGTCAAGTGTGACTACCCCTACTATGGATAGGGGGCTCCGGATTAGAGTTACTGACTTTTTACATAAAGTGAGTGAGGTTGATGACATGGAGGCTTACCTGACAACCTTTGAAAGGATTACTACCCGAGAAGGATGGCCTCCAGGTCAGTGGGCAGGATTACTATCCCCTTGCCTCAGTGGAGAATCCCAAAAAGCATATGATGATTTGCCTCTCAGCCAAGCACAAGACTATGACAGATTGAAAGCAGAAATCCTAACACGGCTTGGAGTTACGCCTGCAGTGCGAGCCCAAAGATATAATGCATGGCTTTATGATACAGAGAAATCTACTAGGTCGCAAATGCATGACCTATTGAGACTTGCCCAGAAGTGGCTACAGCCAGAAATCAACTCTGCTGCAGTAATCATTGAAAAGGTGGTTATGGATCGCTTTCTAAGGAGTCTGCCGATAGCGCTACGGAAATGGGTCAGTCTAGCGGATCCAAAGGACCCAGAAGAAATGATGACCTAATAGAGAGATTAGGATGATCCAGATATCTGACTACATTAGATCCGACTAAAGGTTATTGGCAAGTTCCCTTAACAGAGCGGGCCAAAGAAAAAACAGCTTTTTCCACACCAGAAGGTTTATTTCACTATAAAGTCTTACCTTTTGGGTTGCATGGTGCACCTGCCACCTTCCAAAGAATGATGGATAGAATCCTTAGACCCCATAGTGAATACGCGGCTGCCTACCTTGACGATGTGGTTATACACAGCACAGATTGGGAAACACACCTTCCCCGAGTTCAGGCAGTAATAAAGTCTATACGAGATGCAGGTCTAACTGCCAATCCATCCAAATGTACGATAGGTTTGGAAGAGGCTAAGTATTTGGGCTACACTATTGGGAGGGGTCTCCTAAAACGACAGAAAAGTAAGGTAGATGCTATTTGGGATTGGCCACGTCCTGTGACAAAGAAACAAGTCAGGGCATTTCTAGGCTTAGTGGGCTACTATAGGCATTTAGTACCCTGAAGGAGGTTTTGTGTGCTGACCCAATTTTGGTTGCCCCAGATTTTACGAAATAATTTTTGGTACAGACAGATGCGTCTGCTGTGGGCCTAGGTGCGGTTTTTTCTCAAGTACACAGAGGAGAAGAACATCCCATTATGTACCTGAGCAAAAAGCTGAATCCCCATGAACAGAGATACTCTGTGGTTGAGAAAGAATGTCTGGCCATAAAATGGGCACTAGAAACACTTAAGTATTATCTATTGGGGAGAAGGTTCAAACTTGTCACAGATCATGCGCCGTTGACGTGGATGAGACAAAACAAGGAAACAAATGCCAGAGTAACTAGATGGTTCCTTAGTCTTCAGCCATATAACTTCTCTATGGAGCATAGAGCTGGTAAAGACCAGGGGAATGCAGATGGTTTATCCAGAGTCCATTGTTTGTGGTCAAAGGTTGCTACGACCAATGGGCCTAAGCTGGCGGAGAGGATATGTGACAGAGTCTATGGGAGGGTAATAGAAGTAAGGTATTTAGGACCCAGAATCCTCCATAGCCTGTACTCATTCACCTTCCCAATTAGCACCTGCTGAGGCTTTAATTAGCAGGTCTCAGAGCAGAAAGGGGGAGATACAATCTGACCTGCAGATAGAGCAGGTCTGTGCAGAGCAGCACCAAACAAAGTGCTAAAGGTTGGTGAAACCAATGTTTATTCTCTTGATTTGTTTAAATTATTACCCTGGTTTAGTAAGGGACATGACTTTATGTTTAGTAAGTGCTCGAATTTGAGCTAGGATTTTGTTTGTAGACTTTCCTTTCTGTTTTGCTGCAGTTTTGAACAAACGGATTGCTGCATGGGTTTTTGTGCACGATGTAAATAAACCACACCATTTTTGCATAAGAGACTGTTGTTCTATACCTGTTACCCTAGAGGATTGTGGTGCTTTGCCCATAAAGGTCACACTTAGTTTCACTTTTTTATGGTGTTAAGTTTTATCTACACCATTTGTGGTTCCTCTTTGTTTTTATTTGTGTATTTTTTATTCATTTGTGTGTATGTGCCAGTGTGGGCATCTGTGTGTATGTACCAGTGTGTGTATTTATGTATATGTGCCAGTGTAGGCATCTGTGTGTATGTACCAGTGTGTGCAAATTTGTGAGTATGTGTCAGTGTGGGCATCTGTGTTTGGATGTATGCTCAGTGTGGGTATCTGTGTGTGTGTGTGTAGGGGCTAGTGCACCTATCTGTGTATCAAGATGTGTATATTCAAGTGTGTGTGTGTGTGTATCTATGTGTCAAGGTGTGTGCATGTGTCTGTGTGTAAAAAGTTGTAATATGTTTTTGTGCGTGTGGGGGGGCCGTATAGGGAGATTAGGGGTGCAGCCACGTCCCTGAAATGAGTTTCTGCAAGTTGGGATTTCTGCATTTTGTAGGAGCATGATCAGTGCACACACATACCCTAGTTCAAGGCCACTGTAACAACGCAATAGACCCCGGGCAAATCGATAAATTATCAATAAAATTAGGCTTATATTTATTGGTACCTCCAACAGATACAATAAATACACACACACAGACAGACTGCTGAATACACACACAAACACACACACACAGACTGCTGAAAGCACAAAGATTGCTAAAAACATACACTCAGGCTGCTGAATATACACATACAGAGACTGCTGAATGCATACACAGACTGCTGAATACATACACAAACACACAGACTGTTGAATCCACACACAGACTGCAAAATACATACACACAGACTGCTGAAGACACACACAGACAAACTGCTGAAGACACACACTCAGACAAACTGCTGAACACACTCACAGACTGCTGAATACACACACAGACTGCTGAACATACACACACACTCACAGCCTGCAGTGTGGGGTGCCGTGAGTATGTGTAGGTGTGCAGTGTGTGTAGGGGTTCAGTGTGTGGGGGTGCTGTGTGTTGGGGTAGGGATTCAGAGTGTGTGTGTAGGGTTGCAGTGTGTGTGTGTGTAGGGGTGCTCTATGTAGCAGTTCAGTGTGTATGTGTGTGGAGGGATTGGTGTGTAGGTGTTCAGTGTGTGTGTGTGAGGTACTAGTTGTATGGGGGTGTAGTGTGTGTGGGTCAATGTGTGTGGAGAGGGTCCTGGTTGTGTTAGGTGGGTGCTGTGTGTGGGGGGAGTAGTGTGTGGTGGGAGTTCAGTGTGTGGAGGGGGTGCAGAGTGTGTAGTAGTTCAGTGCGTGTGGGGTGCTGTGTGTGTGACCTCCTTCAATCTATGCTCCCAGTGCTTACCAAGAGCTCCAAGCACTCCACCAAATACCATAAGCACTGTAGACTCCGCAGCTTGGTTGGGGTCTCGCCGTCCTCCACCCACCCTGGACCCTAGACCAGGATCCAGCTCCCCGTGGGCAGACCTCTCCTACTCCAGAGAGCGTAGCAGGAAGAAGCTCTTAGAAGAACTAGTGATTATACTGCTGTATGTGTGGGGTGTGTAGTGTGTGAGGGGTTCA